GAAGAAGTGGCTGGGGAGAGGGAAGTCTGGGCCTCCCTTCTTAAGCTGCCCCCCCCGCGACCCGACCCCGGATAAGCGGAGGAAGATGGATGGATGGATGGATGGATATATATTTATGTCTCACTGTATAATTTAATTTCTACCTATTTATTTGTTTATCTTATTTTGGGGGGTAATGCATGCTTATTTATTTATTGTGCATTTATTTATTTTCAAAAATGGCTGAGTTAATCCTCCATAAATCTGACATAGTGGAAAAAATTGCAAATCTTCTTTTGGAAAGTAAGCTTGTACGAGCGATGCAAACAGCAACTTTTAAACAGATCGTGCACAAGGAGAAATGAGCTCATGCACACTCAGGGTTGTTCATATGCATTTTTTTTTTATTAAAGTTCAGTGGGTGAGTTCTTAAAAAGTCGTGAAAATTCTCCAAAATTCCTTTAATATAAGACAGGAAAATAGAGCCTGCAGAATATTGTTGGTGTATTTTGTTATAATTCAGTGTAATATAGGTGTGACCAGCAGAGGGCGATCTGTACCTGACTCATCAGTGTAGTCAGAGTGATGAGGCAGACAGTGCACTGAGGATGCTCCTGTTAACCTGGATTCCTCGGTTTCTGTTAGTTAGCAGAGTCCTAAATACCATAGAAATAATGGATCAAAGCAATAATAGATCATTGGTGCCTTCAGTGAAACAGATGTGGAGCTAAAGGAGGAATCCAGAAGTTTAGATGTTTGTAAAGGCAATCTGCTCTGTGGGCTGTCTAACATGGCGGCATGGTGGTCCGTGGAGATCGCAGTAATGAACTAGAGGACTGTTTGATGCCTGCTGAGTTCAGATGATAGAAGCTAACTGCTGAGAGATGCTCATGGATCCTGGAGGCAGGAGTTCTGGAAAGAACCTCTGAAGAACAGATCAGATGGGTCATGCCAGGAGATGGTTGTAGAACCTCTGATCACAAAACCTTTGATCCCAAACTGAGGTGATCTAGTTCATAAAGGTGATCCATCAGAGGATCAGATAGAATGAAAACTGGTCAGAGGTTATATAAAACTGTATCTAGAGACAGTGATGTCATGGGTTCTAATAGGGATGACTACAGTACTATTAATGGGTTTTACAGTCCAAGTGTTTAGTGTTGTGGTTGTGATAACAGTGAGCAGAGAAGTGTAGTCAGTATGTGATGAGGCAGTGTACAGACAGTGCTCCGAATCCACTCCTGTTAACCTGGATCCTCTGGTTTTACACTTTGCTAGAATCAATCTGATGATGGAGATGAGCTGACTCATTATTTTCTGCAGAGTAACGATGACCTCAGATCAGAAAAGGATATTTGAAGCAGAAATTTTTAGGCTGCTGAAAGTTCTGTTCATCTCTGTGCTCTCAGTAGCGGGTCTGGGCTCCTTTGCATGAATGACTGCATCAATGCGGCGTGGCAT